CAAAGATGTTGTGTCCGCCGAAAACTAAAAAACAAATATTAAAAAAAATTTCTCCCCCCCTCTCTTTCTTTTTCTATCACTCTCTCTCTCTTTAAAAAAACATGATATTTACATGATTAACACATATCATTTATATACGATTTAAATAATAATAAAAATAAAACATTTGATGACCACATTGATGAATATTCTTCAGCAGAACTTGACTAAGTACTTTATGGTACATTTCCCAGCCTCCATTCTATGCCAGAATTCCTTATGCTACCTCCAAAAGCACAGAGAGTTTTGACATAATCCCACTGTTGGCAGTAGTGCCTGGCATATATGCTTAGTAGAGTGCTTAGTAGATATAATAGATACTTGTAGAACAAATGAGTGAATGGCTTAATACAAGGAATGTTATTTAATTGCTAGGCAAAATTAAACACAAATATACATCCTGACTTGGAGAAATGTTCATGAACATTTCTTGGAGATTGATTGCAAAATGATGAAAATTTTCAAAGTAATGTTTATGAGACTGTATGTTCTATGTTTATAAAGAACATATCATATGTATGTATTTGAATATGTATTTTAGGAAGTAGCTAATCTATGACAAATTATAGTATATTAGTCTATGAGTGCATATTCTTATCAAAAAGTCTAGAAGGATATCTTCTTCCTTGTTTATTAAACACTTTAGATTTTATCTTTTTTTGCAATATGAAAAAATCATTTCAATTGTTTTTTTCTGAAATTCTGAGCTTCCAACATTTTACAGATAATAAACTATAAGTATGAAACTATAGATAATATGTTAAAAATTATCTTTTTTAAAAATAATCTTTTCCCTGATAAAATAACTATCTTATTAATGTATTTCAGTATAGTCAGTAAGTTGATCATGGCAGTGTAACAGAATTAAAATGGGAAGGGGGAGATTTTTTCCTATACTCCAGAAATGTGAAGATGTGAAAGAATAACCTTGGAAAGAAAAAATTATTGCTGATGTTGTGACTATGACAATCTTAGAGTCAGATATTAGTGCTTTTCTGTAATTTCAATGTAAAACATAATATTTTATGAGATGGTTAGATAAATGCTAATATAAAACACTAAATTTTATTTCCTATTTTCCCCCTTTTAACAATACTCATTTGACATTATGCTTAAGATGTAGTATAAAAGAGTTTTGAAGACTTTTGAATCTTAACATTTAATACCTTGTCCTTGAAGCTGTCATTTGGTACAGTATTAATGCATTTATATTGAATTATACTGCATCTTTAAGTGTTATATTGTGAGAGACATTGGTTTGATTATTCATTTATTATTATTCATACTCAATAGCAAATGAATTAAGATTCTTGGGAAGAATTAATTGTTGTTATTGTTGTTTCTACAATAACATGAACTCTGAATTTTTCTGTTGTTATCAAATATGTCTCCCCCATATTCTCATTTATGTTGTTACCCCATAATGTGAAAATTTGTGTTTCAGTGATCTAAAAATTTTAAAAGAAAAATATTTATAAATGACTCTTGATATTTTGTTGATATTGAACAGTTAGAAATGTTTTAGGACCTTTAAAGTAGTTATAATAAAATGATACATCTATCTACCTACCTACCTACCTATATAAGGAATTTTAAGATACTCTATTGCAAAGTAAAATAAACCACTGCAAATTGATAGAAAATTTTCATTAGCGCAAGCAGAAAACAACTTTGATGGTTGACTTTTTGAATAGCAGGGACTCTTAAATTAATGATAATTTTCATAATGACAGTGAATTAGCAGCATCATGTAGTGTTTGTTTGCTGTAGCCACATTCTCTGCTAAGTGACTTATAGCATTATTTTAAAAAATAATTCTTGGAGTTTAAGTTAGAAATTTATATCCAATACATTAAAGCTACTTTTCTCCTGGATCATGCTATTATGAGATTTAAAATAATTTAGATTTATGTTCAAGTTCTAAGTGGGATAATTTGTACACAGTGCTATAAAAAACTATGTACTCTTTTCCTCCTAGACATACACTATTATAAAACTTAGAAGTTAGTATTTTTTAAATTGTACTCATTTTGTTCACATTTTAGAAGAAAAATTAGAATTTAGGCCTATGTAATATAAAAGTTGATATTTAATTTTGAGCCACTATAATATGCTTTAGTTATTTTTCTGACATATTAATAATTTAAATCTTACCATTATTTTTATTTAGAATTGTTTTTAATAGGCTAGCAAAAATGCAAGAAATAACTTTTTTCTTAATTTGATTAACATAATTTTATGACTATAAAATTGTTGCCAAGTGTTCAAAATGAAATACTCTTAATAAGGAAGACAGATTTATGTTTAGGGCCTTTGTAGTTCCCCTTGTCCCCTTTAACTCATACCAAACTCCAAGCTTTCACACTCTTCCTTTGGGCAAATCCCTTAGAAGCAGAATGTTTCAATTTTACACATTTTGTGTCAATTTTCCAGACAGAAAAACAGCCTCTAGACATTAGACGTTTTTCTACGGAAAGGCAGTTTCCTTAGTTTTATTTGATTACTATAAGTTAGGTTCCTGCTGATCACTCAGACCGTTAGTGGTTACCTGACTATTTGACAAAAAACATTTCCTTTCCTTTATTTAACCTTTGACTTTGGAATGTAAAAGTTTTATCAGCCCTATGGTAGGAGTCCTCCTGTGCCACAAAATGAACTCTTTCTCTCTTTCTCTCTCTCTCTCTCTCTCTCTCTCTCTCTCTCTCTCTCTCACATACACACTCACACACACACACACACACACAAATACATACACCACAGGCACACACAAAATCATATCTATCTTTTGTCGTAAGTCTTTAAAGAAAATTAATAATCTTACAATTAAACTTTAAATTCCTCCTGTCTTTTGTTTTAAAATAATTAGTTTTAATGCATTTGTTTTTCATTTTGTATATATTTGCAATACTATGAAAGTCACATTGAGTATTAAAGAAATTTACATGATCTGTTTTAAAATAGTCTTTACAGTATGTTGAGTAAGTTTTTTAACTTCTAGGATTTTTAGGTTGATTGTGAAAAACAGATTTTGAATATCTTTGGATGTATAAGATTTAATGAAAAATATTAATGATAATCAGTTTAAGACCTAATAGATTAGTTAAAATTATTTCTTTGAACATATATTATTTGAGAATTTCCTCAGAAA